TTATTCACCCTGTTTCTCTCCTTCAGTTTTATTCCTGTTTATTAGAACATGAGAAATTAAAATTGGGGTTCAATGTGATCAATTTACACTTTTAATCTCCCCGAAGCACAGATGTTATCGTCTGACTCAACATTATAATTACAATGTGTAAAAAAAAAAAAAAAAATAGCCAAATACAGACATCCTGCCAGTCACCAGAGATTAGTGAGTATCTGACTTGGATGATGCATTAATTCATGTGATGACATTAAACGGATTAGATACCACCTACTGGTGTGATCAGCTCAGTTTTTACTGAACCTGTTATTCATATGAGTCACACACCAGTGAGCCAAAAACACTATGACCCTGTACATGGTGAATAAGGTGGATTATTTCTCATCAGTGTTGTTGTCACCACTATAAGACGGTAAATGCAAAGCTGAGAGTTGCAGTCATCCTAAAAACAGCAGCAGGGGCAGGTGTAAAGTCACGGGTGTCACAGCCAGATGAGTCTGAGTCAGAGCCGCCCGAAACATCGAGGCTTGTTGGGCGCTCCCCGTGAGCTGACGATTACCTTCAAACAGTCATCTGAGGAGGGACCAACAGTGAAACGCCAAGAGGGTATTGGAGGATGTGTTGGAATAACAGTGGCTCCAAATCTTACAGGACTAATAGGATCTGCTCTTAACGTCTTGGAGCCGCCACACATCCTGCTGAATCCCCACTGTGGCAGGTCGGAGCTTGTTTTGGTGGTACAAGAAGCACCGAGAGCAAATTAGATCAAAGTGGTCGTGTTGTTTTGGCTGTCGTTATGATGAATTCTTTTAATTAATTTAGAAACCACAGCTCTTTAATAGCTCACATGTGTTTCAGGAAGATTTCTGCTCGTGTTCAGAGAGGTGCTGGACCCAGCTAAAATCTGATTGGCCCCTGTGATGCGCCACCCCGTCACTAATCACTGGACAGGGTGTGCAGGACTTCACTGGTTGGATCTTTACAGATGCAAAAACATCACAGACATCAAACACTTGTGGTAAGCATGATGTTGATGTCGATTTCATAGGGGAGGGCTGGCGATGACAGGAAAGATTACAATGTTTACAAGTTCAAAGAAGCGTGTTTATAAGATGGAAATTGGTAATCAGTATAAGTCTGATGGGACTTGAACGTAGCACGAGCGTGCTGCGATGCACAGACAGCTCAACAGTGGTGCTTAGCTCTTCTGTGGAACCAGCTTCCAGTTTGGATTCGGGAGACAGACACTATCTCTACTTTTAAGATGAGGCTTCAAACTTTCCTTTTTGCTAAAGCATATAGTTAGGGCTGGACCAGGTGACCCTGAATCCTACCTTAGTTATGCTGCAATAGA